AGTCCAGCTGCTGGCTTCTGCATGCCAAATGGCGCCGTTTCGATTTGAACTGTTGCATGCCGGGAGAAGTGACGTCAACTCCCGGAGCTCTATAGGGCCTTACATGGACAAGCACCATCATACATTGGTGATCTTCTTAGTCCCTACACCCCCAGCAGGTCCCTGGGGTCCAGTGATCAAAGCCTACCGGTTGTGCAGCACCAGGCTAAAGACCAAAGGTGACAGATCATCTACTGCTGTGGTCCCCAGACTCTGGAACTCTCTCCCCCTGAACCTGAGATCAGTGGACTCCTTTAAAAATCAGCTGAAAATTCACTTGTTCAGGCTGGTTTTGGTTTGACCTTCATCACCCTCTCCTTGTTCTGCTCTCCCTACCTATTCCACCTTCCTCAGGATCCACTGATTTCCCTCTTTCCTATTCACTCTTTCTCTTTCTTTACATTTTTTAATCACAATTGTCTATTTTTGCTCATTAAAAAAATATATTTTTATCATTTTCTAAACTCTTTTTTTATATTTTATGTTTTTAATTTTTGTGAAGTGTCTTACGATTTTTATCTTGAGAGGCACATTAGAAAAGATTTTTTCTTGTTCTTCTTGTTCTTGTTCTTGTTCTTCTTGTTCTTCTTCTTGTTCTTGTTCTTCTTGTTCTTGTTCTTCTTATTCTTGTTCTTCTTGTTCTTGTTCTTCTTCTTCTTGTTCTTCTTGTTCTTCTTCTTCTTGTTCTTCTTCTTCTTCTTGTTCTTGTTCTTCTTGTTCTTCTTGTTCTTCTTCTTGTTCTTCTTCTTCTTGTTCTTGTTCTTGTTCTTCTTCTTCTTCTTCTTCTTCTTCTTCGAGAACCCACCCAATTGGCCAAATGAGTGAAGAGCTCTATTTGATTTGTTAAAAAAAACATAATGCTTCCATTTGATTGTAGAATGCATTGTGTGTAGCAAACTAGGGCTGCAACAACGAATCGATAAATTCGATGAAAATCGATTACTAAAAGCGTTGGCAACGAATTGCGTCATCGATTCGTTGTGTCGCACAACTCTTCCAAAAGCGCCCCCCCCTTCCCACCCGCCGTTGCGCGCAGACAGATCAGCGCGAGGGAGAGCCGGCAGATCAGCGCGAGGGAGAGCCGGCAGTTGTTTGGAAGAGGAACATGGCAGAAGCAGCAAGAGTCAAAAAAGTAAAAGCTTTTTAAGTTTGGGAGCATTTTCAGTTAAATCAGGTGAAGACATTCGTTACCTGCAACGTTTAGGTCAGACTTAGCATGGCACGGGATGATGCAGCGTCTTAAACGCAAGCATGTCGGGATCATCAGCGAGGAAGGAGAGAACTCTGTGTCCGGGTAAATTAAAAACTTTTCAAAAGTGATTCATCCAAGTCCCGGATTATTACACAGGCTAGACATGCCCTAAGCTCGTAAAAAAAAGAGTCTAAAGTCGTGAGCGCGACGCTTATTAGATGAGCGGGGGGACTCGCGCTGCTGCGAACCGGTTCCGCCCAAGGCCGGATTAACTGGGCAATTGCCCAGGGCCCATGAACTCTAAAGGGCCCAGGGCACGAGCAACATACTGTATCTATAATTTCCCGCTTTATGAGGACTATGGTGACCGTACGTTCCGTTTTCCCCGGACATGTCCACTTTTCACTCTCTGTCCGGCGCGTCCGGACTGCGGGTTCTTGTATTGATGAAAATGTCCGGCTTTTCATCCAGGAGCAGGGATCGAATTATGGGGGAGCTGTATATCCTACACATCCAGGTGAACCGGAAAAAGTTTTCTATATTATATCATTTTTGGACTCTTTTGAGCAGAGAGCGGCACAGTGCATTGTTGCGCAGCGATCCAGGCAGCTGCTTCCAGCGCACGGTCCATTCTCAAAGTGGCGCAACCAAAAAACTATAATTAGCACACGATCGTTCATGTCTGCACATGTTCTCTATTTTCTGTCTTATTTGTGCCTGCAGCGCTCTGCTACTGCAGAGCTCATCACCTGTGCTGCGGTGATTTCACCTCACGCAGCATCGAAAACGCGCTCTGCGCTTTGCGGTCAGGAGATCCCTTAGATCTGCTCAGAAGTAACTGATGAGGTGAAAAAGTAAGAATCCAGGCAACAGATTTTCTGGAGAATTAAGAGGAGATGCAGGAAGATGAGAGACAGACAGGACAGGAAAATAGTTCAATAAAAACAACAAAACAAAACAAAGTGTTGAAAAGTAAAATGTAGGTAGATTTATCTCCACTACACGTTTTTACCTGTAAAACAATAAGTTACACACATGTAATATTCATAAATTTGATACTATTCAGGTCACCTTCAACACTCAGTCACACACCCAGGGCCGTTTCAAGACATTTTGGGGGCCAAGGCAAAATGCCCCCCCCCCCATAACTGGGCTCCCCAGAAGCCTCTGTGTAATTCATACCCTCTCCAGGAGTGTTAGTTATACAGTGTTTATAAAAGCCCCTCAGGCATTACTGACATGTTCTAATATCAGATGAAAAACAAAATTATCAGACATGCTGTCTCATCTGCTTCTTTTCTAAACTTGCAGAAAGTAACAAAACCATTTGAAAGCCACTATTTGTGGATTCTCTGAGAGTTTCCATGGAGTGTGGGACAACTTATTTTTTCAGTCATTTTTGGAAATAGTGATCAATTTTGATTAATTCACAGCCTATGTTTAATTACATTTAAAAATGAGTTGTTTGACATCCCCAGTTATAATAAATGTCTACAGATGAGATCAAACAAAACAGATGAGAATTGCCCTTAAAGAGCAAGTAACGTCTAAATTAACTTTTTTTTGCTGATGAACTGTATAAATGAGTGTCTAATAGTGTTTTAAATGTGTGTATTCATTATTTTAGCATTTTGGTGCATTTTCTTTAAAAATTAATTTTTCAGCCTAAAAACCACAGTAATGCGCCACCTTCAGCTTAAAACACAGAATTTGACACATTTTGAATAAATTTTAGCCAATGGCTAAAGAGTAAGATACTACGTAAACCAGTAGAGTACTACGTAGCAGCTCTTGTGCCAAAGTTATAAAGCAACGAGAGTCTCGGCCACGCCCTGTGGCGAGTTGGGAGTTGGATTTGCAAGCGAGTGTAGGACGGTTAGCGGTAGTTCAGCATTAGCATATATCATTAGCATATTCTAGTCTTTAGCATAGCTTTTAGTGTTATACATACTTATTTAGTGTTAGCTTGGCTGTTAGATATTGTAGTTTAGTTAGTGTTTAGCTGTTAGTTTTATTAGGAAAGTAATTCAGGTTTAGTGTTACATATCGTTAGCATATATCATTAGCATATTCTAGTCTTTAGCATAGCTTTTAGTGTTATACATACTTATTTAGTGTTAGCTTGGCTGTTAGATATTGTAGTTTAGTTAGTGTTTAGCTGTTAGTTTTATTAGGAAAGTAATTCAGGTTTAGTGTTCCATATCGTGTTAGTATGGTTAAAAGGTGTAGTGTAGTTGGTTGTGGTGGCTCTGTGGGGTTGCACTCCTTTCCACTGGACTTAGAAATTAGGCGCCAGTGGTTGCGCGCAATCGGTGTACTGGAAAACAGTCAGCTCCCGCCTGGTGCTGTAGTCTTCAACCAGCATTTTACCCGCGATTCCTTCGCCAACATGATGGAGTTTGAACTGGGTTATTCTGCACGTCTCCGTTTGAAGAGGGAGGCCGTGCCCACCGTGGCTCTTCCACGAATTAGATGCAGCCCACCGACTCTGCTCCAACACCATGGCGGGCTCCAGTCTGAGGTGAGTAAGCTAAATAAAAGTTAGCATCTTCTAAAGACAATTTCCTACCTAAATGCAAAGTTTGAGAGACGTGGTTCACTCCATTTAGCTAATATCAGCCTGCACTGCCTTCGGGCTAATTTGTCAAGTTCACAAAATGTGGAACGGGATGTAAGGTTAGAATCAGCGGCGAATCGGAACATTTCTCAAAGCCCTGGCCGACAAAAAAGGTCCACTTGACTATTTCTGTCAGGCTCGGAGAAAATTCGGGTTGTTTTTGTGTCAGTCGGTAATTCAGCAACAGTGGCTCTAACGCAGCACTAGTTGACAGACATCATTACAGCGTGAAATCCAGCTTTACACCAAAGCCTAACCCGGTTCTGTGAGGAATTCTGTTCAGGAGGTCGCATTTCAGGTTCTTCACATCATATGTGACTGACTTTGACATTATAATAACGATCACACACTAGGAATGTTATAAAGCGCCTATATATATATATATATATATATATATATATTGGACAGTTTCTTTTGTATATTATATGACTTTATAAACTCCAACAACAATGTGCTTCTATTTTTTGTTTCAGGCTAAATCTACCCAAGACGTTGGCTGTCAGACTGATTTAGTAATCTGCAAAAATGCACTTGTCCAGGCTCATGTAAAGCCTTATCGACGTAGCAAAGGTGAATTATTTTTAATAATCTTCTATGTAAACATTTTATTATTACCTTCTAGTTTTAATTTGTTTTACAGATTATTGTTACACGTGATTTTATGCTATTTTAAACATTTATAAATGTGCTGCTTCTTTGTATTTTACATAGCCACACAGTTTAGAGCTCCCAGCCGCAGTGTGTCTTGTGACACAGGTACCGTGACGGAAATTCATCTTCCACAAAGTCCCAGAGCTGCGTCCACACCCCAAGGTGTCCCGTTTGTACCGGTCGTTGTGTTGTGAACACGACAACAGTCGGCACACTGCTCCGTGTGACACAACGGTGTTCATCCTGTGAGCACTACAATGAATGGTCCAGTCAGCCCATGGTGAACAGCATCCCAGCAGGAAACCTCCAGCTCTGTGCTGCTGTCCTTTTCACAGGCTCATCATTTAGCCAGATTTCTAAGGTATAGGCCAAAACTGTTTAGGTTAGTTTTGATAAGGTCTGTGCGTCTCTCATTTCATGTCGTAACTTTTCATATTTTAGTTCCTGGGTGCCTTCAATGTGCAGGGACTGTCCAAGCAGACATTCTTTCGACCACAGGCAAAGCTGTTAATTCCAACAGTGAGCTGGCAGTGGCAGCTAGAGCAAGCTGATATCATCCAGGAGGCTACTGAATCTGGACCTGTGACTCTTGGTGGTGACATGCGAGCTGATTCACCTGGTGAATACGTTTAAATTTATTTATTTTATTCCTTTGCTATCAAATGTAAATTAAGTAATAACTTGCATTTCTTGAAGGACACTCAGCCAAATATGGCAGCTACACCATGATGGATCTCAAAAGAAACAAAGTTATTGATATCCAACTTGTACAGGTACAACATTACCTGATGATTCCAAAACATTTAATGGTTAATTATTCACAGATCAATGGAGAATTATGTTTATTTTCAGAGCAATGAAGTTGGGAATAGTGTGCGAATGGAGAAGGAGGGATTTGTGCGAAGTCTGAGCACACTTTTGGAGAGGGGGGTCGATGTGCAGCAAGTCGTGACTGACCGCCACACAGGAGTGCAGAAGTATTTGAGGGAGGAAAAAAAGGAAATCAGTCACTACTTTGACCCCTGGCACATGGGAAAAGGTAATCTTTGGGGATGTATATAGTGAATATTACAGGATTTTTTTTTCTATTTTAAATGTGGGTCTATTTGGCTCTCCAGGAATTGGTAAGAAAATCGAAGAGCTGGGGAAGAGAAAGACGACCCAGGATGTGAGACTGTGGAAGCAAAGTGTGGTGAACCACCTCTACTGGTCAGCATCCAGTTCCTCCTCAGGACAGGAGGCAGTTGCAAAGTGGACTTCAGTTGCCAACCACATCCAAAATGTGCACAGCCATGACAACGCCCTGTTCCCTAGCTGTCTGCATGCACCTCTGGATGGAGAACAGGCAAGACAGTGGCTCAAACCAAGTAAGTGTAGCATGTACTCATTACAGCTGAGCCTTTACTGTTTGGTTTATTTACATTTAAAACACGTCACCCCACAACAGAATATTTGTCTTCACCTCCTTCAACATGGAGAAATATTTTTTGAGCATGTGAGTAACAGACATCACATGTAGCTGCTAAGGTCACACACCACCATTTGGCCAACAGCAATTAATTACTAAGAATAAAATGCTGTGCAGAAATTTAAACACACGAGTGCGCCACACAACTCATGGTTTTAGGCAGAACAGCCATAATTGACATAATATGTACTAAAATGCCGTAAGTAATGACCACACCTGTCTACAGCACTATTAGTCACTCTTTCATACATTTGTCATCTAAAAATGTAAGCTATGGGTAACTTTTTCTCAATGGAAATAATAGCAACATTCTAAAGTTGATCAAATTGTAATTTTTGTAATTAACATTTTCTACGTAGGCACAGCATCATGTGAGAAGCTCACTGTCATTCTGTTAGCTCCACGGTTTGTGAAGGACGTAGAGAAGATAAGCCCTCAGTACCACACATCCACCTTGGAGGCTTTCCACAGCCTCATCGTCAGATTTACTCCAAAAAGTCAAGTCTTCTCCTTCAAAGGAATGCTGTCTAGGTAATGAATACAACAAATGTTCAAATTAATGCCTCTAATTGTTCAAATTTTAGCATGAAATGTAGAATTTTGCCTCAAATCTACATGGTTTGTTTATTTGATTATTTCAGATTACAAATTGCTGCAATGCACTATAATGAAAATGCAGCACGCTCACATGCAGCAACAGCAACTGGTGAGCTGAGATATGCTGTAGTGTACCCAAAGTACAAACGTGGAGACTACACAGTGAGAGCCCTGAAGACCAATCCAACCTCATGTATGTCAGATATTGTATGATAAAACCAAAATGATGGTCATGGAGAGCTATTGTAATACTGAAAACCCTTTTCCAGTATATGTGCACAAGCTTATGGACCTGCTGTTCGACTCTGTGGTGGTGGATCCTCTCCCATATCAGGAGTACTCGGACAAAATTACGGTTCCAGAACCGCTCTGTGCCCAGTTCCAAAGACCAGATAAACGGGATGCTGTGAGCAGGCACAGGTCCAGGTTTTAAAGTGCACGTCAGGTGAGCTACACAGGAGATTGTAATTATTAGTTAGTACTCTACTCTGTGTGGTTTCTCCTTTTCTCCTCCTCAGCCAGGCTGCACACCACTGTACGACAGAGGAGTTACCTGTCGTCATTATGGATCTTTATGCTCATCCACTCGTGACTCATGCTGTCCACCTCACAGATGTCTATTGATCTCTACAACCTTTCTGCTCTGTGGCTCCCATACAACTTGAAAATCTTGGCCGTATGTAACATAGCAAAACTCACCAGTCTTGCTTTTGTAAGTCATACTAGTCATACTAATATTACTTTTTCCTTAGAGCCTCCTGATCTTGTAACAGAAAAACCTGTGCTCCCGGGATCCATCTCCACGTTTGTCATCACAGTGAAAGCTACCTCCAGTCTAAGGAACCTATGAAACATCACTGTTGGCCCAACCTCTCCTCACATGGCTCCAGAATCTCTGCTTGTGGTTTAGAGTTTTGTCAAAAATCTTGAAAGTTATGATCAGATTGTTATCTAACATTGTCTTAGTAGTAGCTATAATAAATGTTATCTTTAAAGCGCAATTGTGTCTTTTTAAATACAATTATATTGATATTTTGATGTGTATAAATACATATATCACATTTATTATCATTCATTTTTACCTAATTGAACCTGCTCTAGAATAGACTTCATTAATCACACAGGGTGTAAACTCACTTGTTACAGCAGCATTAATTAACCCCGAATTAGAACCTTACTGTTGTAAGAGCTCATTTGAAAGTATGTGGCTATATGTGTGTATATATAAATAATGTCAAAGTGTAAAGAAGTGCATTTACCGTTTTGTGATTTATGCAGCTTTTTATGGACAGGAATCAATACAGGAAATATATATTATAACATTTATTTAATCAAAAAAATATATATTAGTTCAGAGGAGGGAGGAATCCTTTGTATGCACCGTCTTCTGGGAACTCCTGCCTTATTCTGGAGACAGCGCATGACGGGATCACAACACGAACGTGCTGTCCCAGGTAACCCCAACACCACCTGACCACATTCCGGTACGCCAGATGTCTGTAACAGCTGAGAAAGAGGTGGTATGAGTTATAAAGTATTCATAAAAAAAGTAATTTGACAGTTGTCTTACCTGTTGAGCGTAGTCTCCTGCATCTCCCCATAGAGTTGCAGAAAGGTGCCATAAACTGCATGCAACACGTAGGGATTCAGAGCAACAGCCTCAAAACCAGGATGCTCTGTTATGCAGGAGGTTACACCCACCTGCTGACACCTGAGCATTACCTATGACAAAGAACAACTGATATCAGGTCTATAAGAGTTCAATATTAGTATGATGTTAGTGATTGTGTAACAAATGTGTACATTACAGAATGCTTTTCTCATGGTGGGGTACTTTTATTTTTATACCTTGGGCGTTTCTCTGCAGCACACATTTTCTCTGGCAGACAATGATGTGCAGTGGCCGCAGGTGCACCTGTCGAGGCAGTCATACAATATTACTTTTAGCTAAGCTAAATATAGCTAGCTGTGGCTAAAAGCTACTTACCACTCAGAGACTGGACCCATTCGATGCCTTGATACTCCTGCTGGCTCGACTCCAGGGGCCTCCTGCTGGCTCGACTCCAGGGGCCTCTGACAACTCGACTCCAGGGGCCTCTGACAACTCACGAGCTAGTGGCTCAAAAAGATACGGTTCAGGACCGCTTGCTTCCCCCAATAAGCCCTCCTCCCTATCCTCTGGGGAAGAAGGTGGGGAAAAGTCCTCCACCTCGAATGACTGCTCTGAGCTAGTGTCGCTCTCCGTCGCCATCTGTATTCAAATTTCAGTATGTCAATCACGGCCGTAGCTCCGCCTTCTCGGTCTTACAGGAAACGCCTCTTTGGGCCGCATTTTTCAAATATGAAATGTGGGTGGAGTAAGACTCTGAGGAGGCTGTTACCACTACTTTAAGCTGTTTAAATGGACCAAGCATTTTAGGTCACAGAGCTATAGCTTAGGGTCTCTGTCTATACACCTGATAAGATAATTTAGGTGATGGCATGTTGTTTTTCTGCTATTGAACTGTTTTCTAATAATGTTGTGTTAAATAAAGTGAAGGAAGGAGAGAAATAACGTTTCCCTAGCAGTTTTTAAAAATGTCCCCATGTAATCCGATTAATCGATTAATCGTGTCGAGACCCCATCCGATTCATCGATTATGCAAATAATCGTTTGTTGCAGCCCTATAGCAAACACTTGAGCTGACCATTCATTGTGATATTAATCTGTTCTTTGCACTATGCGTACTGCGCATCCTGATATAACGATAAAGATATATATTAGTGATATATTGTGCAGCCCTTTTATTTTGAATTCACATTTAGAATTAAAAGATTAGGCATGGTGACACAGTTGGTAGCAATGTTGCCTCACAAAAAGATGTTGCAGTTTTAGCACCTTGCAAGGTCCACTCAGGTTTGTAGCTGTCTATATGCATGAGTGTCATCACTGACACCAGTCAGTGACTTGATGCAATTTCCTGGGTTCCTTATGTAGGAAACTTTTTTCTGATTGGCTTAATGAACTGATCTGTATTGGAATGTTTTATTATGTGAAGTGCCTTGAGACGACTCTTGTCGTGATTTGGCGCTATATAAATAAACTTGAATTGAAAATTGAATTGAATATGGCCCATGGAGCAGAAGGGGCAGGGAGACTGTTAGTTCACCCTGTAAAGGGTCGTTTTAGCTTTTACTGGCTTAAAAAATTATGTAAAAATATGACAAAGCCTTAGTGTACCTTTAAGAAAAAACAAAATTTCCTCTGGGGCTGGATTTGCGCAGCAATCAAGGGATCAAGGTGCCTTTTGCAGCAGGAGCCCAGGAGGTAGAGCAGGATCGATTCCAGTTCCCGTCTGGGAAACTCTAATGGGAAAGACACTTCATCCAACTTACCTATGTAGTGGTGATGAGGGGTCGATAGCGCAAATGGCAGCCTTGCCTCTGCCAGACCTTCCCCAAGAGGCTGTGGCTACATAGTAGCTTACCGTCACCAGCAGTTTGTGAATGTGTAAATAATGGGAAGCATTTGGGTGCCTTGAAAAATGATATAAAAATGTTATACATTAGTACTGTATTTTATTTTTTGCCATTTTTGCAAGAAATTGTAAAATTTCCAGGTAGTTAGGAACTTGTTCTACAGAAGGTCTCCTAGTCAATAACACAATCTAAGTAAACGACCAGTAGATTTAAATAAAAAATACATGCAAACATAAACATATTTTACATAAAAGATTACGAGGCATAGAAGTCAATGTGAAAATTAGACAAGATTATGTTAAAAAAAACAGACATCAAACATGTCCAATATAATAATATAGGATACAATCAACGGAGTGTATGTGAAATCTGGGACAAGGTGAAACCTCAGCTGAGGTTGTGTCTTTTCACAGTTCAAGAAGCAAGAATACAAGGGGTATTTAGAGTTTTGGGTTGGTCGGAGATGTGTAAGGCTTGTAGATTTGTGTTTGTGATTTGAGAAGCTAGAGTGACAGGCAAATCCTCAGTGCGTATCCTGCTCGACTTATCATCTGCATTTGACACTGTCAACCATGGCTTCCTTTTGTCCACACTCTCTAGCATGGGCATCACAGAGAAAGCACACGCCTGGTTTGATCATTCAGTGTATCTTGGCTTGGACAATCCTCTAACGTGCACCATCTTGCCACAGGAGTCCCCCAGGGCTCTGTACTAGGACCTCTTCTCTTTGCCATATACATCACCTCACTGGGTGAGATCATTCCATCACATGGCTTCTCCTACCACTGCTATGCAGACGACACCCAGCTTTATCTGTCATTTCCCACCTCGATTACTGCAATGCCCTTCTAACTGGTCTTCCAGCTTGCACTGTGAGACCTCTTCAAATGGTCCAGAATGCAGCAGCGTGTCTGGTCTTCAATCAGCCAAAAAGAGCACACGTTACCCCTCTGTTCATTGAGCTCCAGTGGCTACCGCTAGCAGCACGCATCAAATTCAATTTGCTAACACTAGCATACAAAGTCCGAGATGGTACGGCTCCTATCTACCCGAATCCTCTTGCAAAGGCTTACGTCTCGGCCTGGCCGCTCTGGTCATCACAGGATCGTCGGCTAGCAGTGCCTACACCACGCTCAGGACAATCCAGACTTTTCTCATGCATTGTTCCACAAATGTGGAATGACCGTCCAAGCACTACCAGAACAGGGGCTTCCTTTTCAATTTTCAAGAAACTCCTGAAGACCCTGCTCTTCAGAGAGCATCTTCTTAACTAGTACCCTCCCTGCACCCATCCCCCCTCTCTACTGTCCACTCCTTGTTCCCTACTTTCCATGACTGATGTCAAGTTGTTGTTATTATTGTTGTTGTTAGCGTCAAGGGCAATATGCCAATTATCACTTGTAAGTCACTTTGGACAAAAGCGTCTGCTAAATACATAAACATAAACATAACCACATATAAAAATGCAATTTAGCATTAGCATGGTCCTTCATTTTTATTGCAGAAGAGTCCGAGATGCAATCCGCTATGATTGATGTTGATTCATGTAGCCTTCTTTTTCCACAAAGCCGTGCAAAAACCCTGACTCACTATTGAGTGGCCAACATGAACACACTTGAGTCTTTGGGTACCATGAGTTTATCTTTGACTGTTCTTCTTGTTGCATCAGTCTACCCACTCTGTAGCTACACTTTAGACCCCGTCTCGATGATGGCATCAGGCAGTTCCTCATCATCCTGTCGGCATTCACCCTTTTCCATTTACCAAACTGCTGTTATCTCCAAGTATCTGACTTATCGATGAATGCATGTCAACAGATATCTTTTGGGTTTTTTATTGCTTTTGGATGAACCTTTTTTATGTGCACCAAGCTCATTTATCAGACTTCTTCCCTTCCCTAAGACAGTAATTTTTTTCAATCTGTCTGAAACACCCAAACCTCAGTATGGTGCTAAACCGCATGCCTGTCTTTCATGCTACTTTCTTTTGCTAATTCATAAACGCTTCCACCTCAGTCATTTCGACCTTTGCTCACTTGTAGACGTTCAAAATGTACTGAAAAAAAAAAGCGGTAACAATCATGGACATTTTCTGCAGATCCAAAAATGAAAGATGTTCTTCAAAGCATTGACAGAAACATTAAAAGAAGAGTCATGAGCCGGAGGTAGAAACTTGATACAGCAATGGAACCAAGTTTCAACTTGTTTATTGAATTTTCGATTTTATGTAACATTTTTTGTTCAGGTAACATTTTTTTTTTGATTGTGGCTTATGTTCAGTTGCTTAGATGACTAGAAATGAATCATGTGCTGCCCCTGGCCTGAGCAACTCAAACAGCATGCAACAAGTTACAAAAGTCAAGGACCCTCATTTATCAGCCGTACTTACAAACAGATCTGTGCATATTTTGTGCGTGGGGGACGATTTTACGCATTGTGTGGTATTTTCTAATATGTGCTTGTGAGTGAAAATATTGCTAAATATAAGAACAGATCTGACCATGCGTAGGAACAGCATCTAGTGGTAGAATGGGGAACAGCAGCACTGAAGGTCTCAGTTATACCATTATGTAGTTATGTCAGTGGAAAAACGGCTTTTGTGCATGATTGGTGCTAAAACCAATAAAAGACACGTGTGACCGACGGGAATCTGACATTGTATCATGACTAATCTGTGTTATTGGAGGATTAACAATGCGTGCACACTGGAGGAAATGCATATTCTGTGAGCACACTGATCTCAAAGGAAATCCTTCTGCTATGCTGTGATTTGGGACTCTTTGTGGTGCGGCAGACAAACCTCACAAATCCAATTCCAGTTCATATTTTATTTTACAACTATGAGAACCCTCCAGAACCTCCTCTGCTCCTTGATACTACACGCAACCAGACTGAATGACAGCTCAAAGAGGCTGAGGCTGCACTCAAGACAACATTTCAAAATGAAACTAACACCAAAAAGAACGACTCGTTAAATGTAAATGAGAACCCGTTACTCTACGTTTGATCAAATCCATATTTTATTTATTTCTGATGGGAACTTCTCTGTTGCGAACGCGTTTATAACCTCTGCAACTTGTTTTTTTTTTTTTTTTGCACTTTGGCAGCCAGTGTTTCAATCTCGTTCTCAGTAAAGTTTTTCTTATTTTTTCTGGAAGATAACAGGGAATCCCCTCTCGTGCTGAGGACGTAGCATGACAAAAATATGATTAACTGAGGGTGTTTCTGTATGTAAATGACGGTGAAAGGACACGATCACCTGGGAACGCACAGATGGGATTTATCATCCGACGATTGCAGGGGAACGTGCATACGAGAGGCCATTGTATGTTTCATAAATCAGTCTTTTGACTGTTCATACACACATTCTAAATTTTGGTCGTGGGATGGAATGAGGACAGAGGACTTGACACAACCAGCTGAAATGACAAGAAAGTCCTTTAAATGACAGGCACTGAGATGTAAGTTTTGTTGTGTGACATTGTTTGAGCAGCAGAGAGCAGCGGTATAAATTTGCCTTTTGAGTACAAAGTGACTATGAATTACTTTTTTCCACTATAATCTGATTATTTTCCTGTTTAAGGC